TGGAAGGCTAGCATGTGTGTGTGTTTTGACGCAAGCCGATGAATAAACAATTTTTTAAGTTAATAAAAAGCGGACATTTGAGGCATAGGGTTGGATGGCCGGCTTCCGCATCAGTGTTCGCGGACTAGTCCCCTATCCGTGCCGACAGATGCGGGAGCAAATTTGCGGGTTAGCATTGGAGATGCCCTTAGAGCATCTCTAGCAGACCCCTTAAACCACGGACTAAAAACGCGGTTTTCAGTTCGCGAAAAACGCGGTTTAAAGGTCGGTTTGAGCTGCGGCCGAATAGACACCTCAAACTTAAACTATTAAACCAAATATTCGCTTATATTTTTTTCCCACGTCTTCTTCTTTCTCTGGCCCGTGTCCACAGTCAACTAGCTCGCTCCTACGAAGCCGGCTGACAACACATGAAGCGGCCAAATACGGATGCCGCCGGCGTCCAGGACGGCTCGCACAAAGCGGCCGCCGTCGCCATAGCTGCTTCAATGGATGGATCGAATCGATCCAGGAGCTAGCTAGCTAGCTCCGTCGCCGTAGCTGCTTGAATGGATCAACTGAATCGATCCTAGCTAGCTCTCGTCACTGCTTAATCAATCGAAGCCTCCATGGCAGATGTGAGACAGCCAGCATCAGATGAGGGACAACCAGCGCGGATGAAACCTCCCGGTGTCACGGAGCCGCCGCCGTCGCCGCTCCTGCAAGCTCCTCCACAGGCCGGCAGCGCAGCTGCTTTAAGCGCTGAGTTTCCGACGAGTCCCATGGCGAAAGATCACCGGAGCCCATGCGTACAGTGGAATTTCCTTGTCGCTTAGCGTTGACCGGTTTTCAGGGCACCATCAGTTTTGCCTTCAAATCTGTGAATAAAGGGGGCCGTGGGGTGGATTCTCAGGGGCCTGAAAAAGTTTACGGGTTTGATCACTTTTACGGGCTCTATTCGGGGTGTTTTTTGAGAACAAAAAATGAAAACATCATTTTTTATGGGTTTAATCACTTTTAAGCAATATTTTAAATAGCGCGCTACAAAATATAGCGAGGCTCTTCTCTAAATGCTACACAAGTTATAACACGCTAATAGCGTGCTATATTTCAAAATAGCGTTTGCAAAAAAAATCAAATATATCTAGAAATGAAGTATTTAAGCAACTAAAATTTTCATAGGAGCAAGCAATATATGCATAAGGGCCAAATCCAGCACATAAAAATAGTAAGTCTCAAACATCAACAACCATAGTTTTAAGAGTCTCTAACATCAACAGCCACCGGGGCAGCCACCTGGGCTTGCTGGTTAGGTCTCGTGGGAGAATCTGATAAAAGGAGTGAGAAAGCTAGTGGTCGTGGGTTGGTTTTGGCCTGCTGGGCCTGCTGGGTTGTGCTTATTTCAGTTTTGCATGGTCTGCACGTCGTAACGTTACAACGTTACAACGTTATAGCGTGTGTAGCACGCTAATTACGTGATTAGCGGTGTAGCGTCCGATTTTACCAAAACGTAACGTCTCCCTTTCAAATATGCTATAACCACGTTATAACGGCGAAATAGCGTGCTATTTAAAATATTGCTTTTAAGGAGTCTGATAGAAATGCTCTTATGCTCTCCTTTGCTTTCTCTCACTTGCTGCCTGGTGCACCGCTGGTCCTTTCTGGTAGTATCACGTTCGTCTCCAGCATCAGCACTCTCAAACATTTTGTCAGTTTATCTATCCTTCTCACGCGGATGTCCAAAAGGTCATACACCTTCAGTCACAACAACTTGGCATTAGCAGTTGGCCAATTACCCTGCAGTGGCAGGAGTAAATATGCAGTACCAAATGTACAAAGTAACTTTTTCGACTTACTTGTACAGCTGTGTTGTCTTGTCACATAATTGGCCTGCCGGTGCCTTGCTTGAGACATGTACATAATGGGGCAAACCTTTCTCGTGCCTATCCAACTTATGTTCAAGTCAAACATCGCATGAAGCATTTATCCAAAATGGTTAACAGCTGAATTGAAATGATAAGAGGCAAACCATGCAACAGAAAATGCAATAAGATATTCATAGATTTGCAGGTTGCAGTACCTGTCTTTTATACTCCCTCCACTCCTAAATAAAAGTCTTCTTAGAGATTCCAATATGGACTACATACGAAGCAAAATGATTGAATCTACACTCTAAAATACATCTATATACATTCGTATTCGTATGTAATCCATATTGAAATCTTTAAAAAGACTTATATTTAAGAACTCAGTACTACTACTACTACAACCATGTCAAATTTTTGTTATAGTGGTGAGCTTAGTTTCCATAAGACCTACCTAAGTACCTAACCATCGCCGTCGTTTCTCTGAATCTTTAGCTCTTGGGCAAATATTCTTAATGTGACATTGGAACCTAAATAAAATCTCATTCCTTATGCAAAAAATCAAGGAATTTTTAATCATTTGTTAGAGTAAAACATGTCCAAATCCTGCAGGAGATAAAACTGTACCAACCTATCATAACAGACACATGCTAAAATGGCAGCACATTTTCCCAGCAGCGGCTCCATGATCCTGGCCACTGCGCACACCTCTCAGTTCCCACTGGATCTCTTGCTCCCAATGCGCCCATGGAAAGTTCATTTCAACTGGTGGGAACAATTACCTTCCATGGCTGGAACATTCTAGCGATCGGGATGGAACCTTTGAGTGCACTTGGCTAGAACATCTCGACAATATCTAGTGGTCAAGGTCTAGCCGGAGGCACCTGTAGTGGCATCCGAGTGGAAGAGAGCACAGCCAACAGACGTGCAGAAGCATGGGATGATCCAATGAGGGGACGAGAGGAGCAACAGTGGATGTGGTTACCCCGCTCCCAGCAGACCTGCAAAACGCGCCATATTTTGGGTATGATGGGCCGCCAATTCAGTGAGCTGCGCCAGGGGTGGTTGAACTCGGTATTCTTGGGAGCCCAGGCGATGTATAAGAGCCACCTTTGGCAAGGGCTGGCATCATGTTTGATATTTGAATTATTTACTTCTTTGCTTGGTAATCATGCTTGCTTAAGTTTTGCTTTGTTTCTTTTTTTGCAGCTACCATCCGTGGGGATAGTGGGCTGATGCTGATTCTGTTTGAGACGCCCTCCGGCTTTGCAATTTTCACCTTTTGTGGGTTACTTATTAGCCGACCAAATGCTGTGGAGGTGTAGTGGTGTACTATATGTTCTTCCTTCCTTGGTTAATGATGATGTGCTTGCTTGCTTGCTTTCTCTTGTTGTCTATGTCAATTACCTAATTTTCTCTTTTATCTTTGTCTCCTCCAGGAAGTATGGCTTAACTTCACTGATAGATGGAAGGCAGAAAGTGTTAGTGCTCACTTCTTTCCTTCGTTTCCCTTTTTCTGATTGTTATTTTTCCTATGTTGTGCTGCCAAATTAACCCTGCTAGTTATCTTGCACCATTCATGATTGCATCAGTATTTATTTATTTACTTTGTTTTCTATTGACGGAGGAACATAAACACATGGTTCATTACTAAATAATTGAGAGGCCAACACAACTTTCCTCCATAAATCTAAAACATGTACCCTGGACCGCGGTTTTCACTTTCAGTGAGATTTTGATGAATTTCACTGGATTTCATTAATTTCAGCAGTCACTGAAATATCTACCTTTCAGCCAAAATATTTCAGCCATTTCAGTAGTACTCCCTCCGTTTCTTTGTAGAAAAAAATATCAACCTCTAGAATACTAAAACTATATGGTATGAAAATTAATTTCATGATGCATCTAACAATCTTGATTTCATATTGTGAATTTTTATATTTTTTTTCTATAAATTTCATGATGCATCTAACAATCTCATGTGATCATGTCCCTGGCGCCAAAGGCCAAAGGCAGAATCAATTTTCTTTGTTTCGTTCTTTGAGAGAAAGGCACACAGAAAGAAAAGGTACGGGATCCATTGCCATGTCAATAGAAACAACACAGGCAACTTGTATATATTCTTACACGCATCAGATACATCCGAGTTGGTACGACCACACGTACTTGGTTCCTGGTCGTCCTGTATTTCCTCGACGATCAGATCGATCAGCTGACCCTCCCCAGACCCCAGCCAGCTGTGTACTTCCCCGTCCAAATCAGCTGCCTCTTTCCCATCCTGACTCGAGATGTCAAAGCAACCCGAGCACGCGATGGTAACACGGGATTGCATTGCGTGAATGGCGTGCTCTGATCTTTTAGGAAGGTGATCTCACATATATAGTGCAATTTCTGAATTCTTAATTGCTTATTGTTTATGTGATTAAATTGAATCAACACCTACCAAAGGAAGCACGACACAAGATCCCCCTAATGAGATTTGGTTTTTTAATGGAAGGAAGAAAAACCAGTGGGTGAGGTGGTGGGAGGTGGGACGAAGAAAAACCGGATAAAAATAAACCAAACCAGACTACCAACTGCTCGTAGAGATCAGTTTTATGTTTCTTAGAGCATCTCCAACAGGCGCCCAAAAAGAGCTCCACGCACTAAAAGTTTGTTTTTTTTGGCGTCGGACAGTCCAGCAAAAGCTGTAGCGCTAAAAGTTTTTGGACGCGCGCTGAAAAACGCTATCGCGCGCATATTTTGAGCGCCGATGCGCACGCTTCACAATTTGCACTGTCTGTTTTTTGGGCGCGCGTTTTTGGGCGCCTGTTAAAACAAAGTTGGTCCCAGCGCATTAAAAATGCTACCGTGACGCGCTACAACGTTTATTGGGCGCGGGATTTTTGTGCGGCCGTTGGAGATGCTCTTACGATGCCCACGTTTTCATATTCCTGCAAATCAAAGAGTCTTTTACCGAATTTTAAAAAAAACAGTCATTTACCAAAATGGCAAAATCCCTGCCGCTTACGGTTGTCTTCAATAAAAAGGTATGAAAAATGGCTGCGTGCACGTAGGTTCTCGAAGAAAAAAAAAGTTCGAGAAGCACTGAGCCATTCTCTACTAAACCTAACCGACTCCGTAAAATCCACACACGGCCGCCAAATTCGACCGGCGATGCGGACTCGCTCCTCGTCGACATCCTCTCCTCCGGCGATGTGTACTCGATCTCGCTCCTCCTCGATATCCTCTCCTCCTCCGGCGGCGAAGCCGGCGCGCTCCTCCTCGACATCCTCTACTCCGGAGGTGAAGCGGCGACGCGGGCGGTCTCCTCCGTCGAGGTTCCCGCCCTGTCCAGGTGAGCCACTCGCCCGCCGTCATCCTGCCTCTCAGTCTCACCTACTCGGCAGGGAAAACTTTTAGTCGCGAATTGGACAGCATGCGAAGGAACCCTAGATTTTTAGCAGCACATATATACCTGCCGTGGGGTGCGCGTGTTTGGGTCCGAACCAACAGATCCGGGCACCTGGTAGGTTTCTTGGGCTTGGTGATTGGAGAGGGAGTCTCAACTAGCCTTATCAAAATGTTGGCATCACTGATGCATGCCTGGATATGATCTAAATTCCGGTAAGCCATTACAATTTGGATCGTAGCCAGTCCAAGTCCAAAATTTTAGCAAAAGGTATACTGTATACCCCTCTTCGATTTACCACCAACTGACCTGATGCGGCGGAGTGCCTTGGTGCATGCGCTTGCTAATCGGCTGAGGACCCACTTGTTTAAGAGCTATCTTCAACCGGTGATGAAATTTTTGATGATGTATAACCCATATGGGGCAGGAGAGAGAAAATAGGTGATGTAAAAGTGGTGCCCTAAACATGATCATTTGAACATGATTCATTCCACATTCTGAAATTTCAAACTCTATTCTACATTAAACATTTTCACCTTCTCCTTCTCGTCGACGAATCGAAGGTCTGCCTCGACGAGGTGCGGATTGGCCTTGGCAAACTTCCCCTTCTCTTCGGCACTCCGTTGCGCATCGACATGGCGGTGTGCTTCCTCTTCCTTGCAGGAGACAATGCAAATCATAGGGGGAGGAACAGCGCCTCCTCGGCTGAGGCCACGTCGGGAAAGTTCAGCTCGGCCCGGTTATGGCCAAACCTCCATCTCACCTCGTCGTGCAGCGCACACGCGGCGAGCTTGGATGCCTCGAAGGTGCCAAGCCACCTACGCTGGCACTTGCGAGTGCTTTCGGCGACGTAGTGCCCCAATTCCCTTAGTCGAACACCATGGTATGGGGTTGCACTTGCGGAAGGGCGGCAACGTGGTGCCATATCCTCGATGCATGCAATTTTGTCAACCCAAAGCCGCTAACCGGACGGGCGGCAAGCCGAACCCAAGCAGCGACTGCTGGAGTCGATAGATTGGGGAGGTGAGTCGTTGATTGGGCAATGGGGAGGCCGGATTCGGGTGGCTGCATGGATGCGGTGGGTAGGTGAAAATTGTTGGCTAGCGGAGTGCAAATCGGCGGCGTGATGGCTAGTGGCGGCCGGCCGGGTGGCAATTGCAGCATGAAATCGACGATGACGGCAATGGGCGACAACGCGGGCTGCGGGCAGGCGAAGTTTCTGCAGGTGGTTGAGGGTGCGCGCATGGGCATGGTGATTTTGTGGCAGTCGTTGCGGCGCTGCTAATATGAAGCAGTGAGAGGCATTTTTTTATCTTCCCTAAATAAATTTACATGACGGAAATATATATACATCACCTGTTGGAATGCTGTTTTTGGGCCGAAGTGCCTCTAATTAAAGAGAAAAGAATCTGAACACACCGGCACATCTCTCCCATGCTGTTGAGATTCGTCGTTTCGCCCACCGCCTCTCACTCTGCTATTTTCCCCTTTGTGCTCTCCTTTGCTTTCTCTCACTTGCTCCATGGTGCACCACTGGTCCTTTATGGTCGTATCACGTTGGGCTCCAGCATCGGCACTCCAACATTTTGTCATCAGTCTATCTATCCTTCTCACGCACATGTCCAAACGGCCATATACCTTCAGTCACATCAATTTGACATTTGCAGCTGGCCAATTACCCTGCAGTGGCACGTAAATATGCAGTACCAAATGAACAGAGTAACTTTCTCGACTTACTTGTACATCTGTGTTGTCACATTGGCGGTGTCCTGCTTGAGACATGTACACAATGTGGCAAACCTTTCTCCTGCCTATCCATCTTATGCTCAAGTCAAAACATCGCATGAAGCATTTGTCCAAAATGGTTAACAGCTGAACTGAAATAATAACAGGCAAACCATGCAACGGAAAAATGCAATAAGATATTCATAGATTTGCAGGTTGCAGTACCATACTTTTACAGAACCGTACTACTACTACAACCTTGGTCCAATTTTCGCTATAGTGGCGAGCTTAGTTTCCATAAGACCTACCTAACCATCTCCACCGTTTCTCTGAATCATTAGCTCTTGGGCAAAGGTCCAGAGTGTGACATTGGAACCCAACCTAAAAATCTCATTCTTTATGCAAGAAATCAAGGATTTTTTTAATCATTTGTTAGAGTAAAACATGTCCAAATCCTGCAAGAGATAAAACTGTACCAGCCTATCATTACAGACACGCGTAAAATGGCACCACATTTGCCCAGCAGTGGCTGCACGATCCTGGCCACTGCGCACACCTCTTGGACTCCCACTGGAACTCTTGCTCTCACTGCGCCCATGGAAAGTTTATTTCAACTGGTGGGAACAATTACCTTCAATGGCTGGAACATTCTAGCAGACGTGCAGAAGCATGGGATGGGCTGAGGGGAGGAGAGGAGCGACAACGGACGGGGTTGCCCCGCTCACACAGAAGCACAAGGTGTAAGATAACCTGTAAAATGGGCCATATTTTGGGTATAATGGGCCGACAATCCAGTGGGTCACGCCAGGGGTGGTTGAACTCGGTATTCTCAGTAGCCATGTATAAGAGCCCCTTTGGCAAGGGCTGGCATCATGCTGATATTTGAATTATTTATTGTACTTCTTTTCTTGGTAATCATGCTTGCTTTAAGTTTGCTTTGTTTCTTTTTTTGCAGCTGCCATCCGTGGGGATAGTGGATTGATGCTGATTCTGTTTGAGACGCCCTCAGGCTTTGCAATTTTCACTTTTTGTGGGTTACTTATTAGCCGACGAAATGCTGTGCAGGTGTACTATATCTTCTTCCTTCCTTGGTTACTGCTGATGAGCTTGCTTGCTTTCTCTTGTTGTCCATGCCATTTACCTAATTTTCTGTTTTATTATCCTTGTCTCCTCCAGGAAGTATGGCTTAGCTTCACTGATGGACGGAAGGCAAAACGTGTTAGTGCCCGCTTCTTCCTTCGATTCCCTGCTCCTGGTTGTTGTTATTTTCTGATGTTGTTTGCCGCCAAATTAATCCTACTAGTTGTCTTGCACCATTCATGATTGCATCATTATTTATTTATTTTATTTTGTGTCTAGGGTGGAACATAAACATATTGTTCATTACCTCTTAAATAATTGAGAGGCTAACACAACTTCCTCCATAAACCTAAAGCATGTACTCTGGACGCAATTGTGCACACGCCCAAAAAACTACTTTAGCTAAATGGCGGTCATGGGTGCAACGAGATTTCTAGCGAATCAGTTACTTGATTTGCTGCTACTATTGAAGAGCAGCACTGTGGTCTGATGCCAAACTACATTTCATTACCTTGCTTTATGAACTTACTTAATCTGAATTACACTAGTATTTGATGAACGAGTATTTGTAAGATGGGGATATCGTCACGGTTAAGTTATACCTAGTGAAGCAGCTCCCTCTGGTGAGAACCTCGACCCCCTTTCCCCTCCTCGCTCCTGCAGGCGACGGGGGGGACTCTAGCCACCGGTCGCGCCCCCCGCCTCCCCTTCTATCCCCTCCCCCCCCTATGGCCGCCGCCGGCGAGCCTCCTCATCTCCGCGCGCAAGGGATGCGGCACTTGGTGCTGGGCGCGGGCAGCTCGCCGGCGCTCCGGAGTGGGACGATGATGGTGGCGTGACGGTGATGCGACGGGCGGAGTGTGGTGCGGGCTAGAGGCGGCG